CGACACCTTGTGATACACAGGCTGGTGTGCTTCTTCCATGTGGGCTTTGTGGTTGCTTCCTTGCTAGATGGCCACTTGTTCAACTTAAAGCTTTTAAGAACCCAGATGCTGTATCTTGTAATAGCTGGGCACCATCAGCTTTCTTCTATGCACCCGTTTTGTCTTCAGCAATCGTGTTGGGAAGGTGAGCATCACAATGCCAGGTAGTTAGTAGAACAAAGTGCTTTTGCATTGACGGAGGACTTGAGTAGAGGCCCAATGTCCATCTGCTACCTTAATACTTAACCTATAAATACATGTACGTAGAACTATATCCCTATTGTTATATATTAATATACTTACATATGTACGTGCCTATGTTTATACCTCTGTTTATTGCCTCCTAGTTTTCCTCTATTTACATTTACTTTCCTCCAGTTCCACTATCATTTCTACCTTCATTTGGCTCTATGTACTTCCTCTTGGCTACATTGCACTTGATCGAACCCCACCAAGCATTCTATGCCCTCTTTGCCATTGAATTTGGATCTCTTGTTGTTTCCTTGTCCCTGGTTTTGTTGGCTCCCCCCATCTTTTCCCCCAACTCTTCCCCTGTCTCCAAATTTTACATTCCAATGAATCCTGATTGCGTGTGAATTTTGTTTTTTTTTTTGTCCCATTCTATTGGTTTATATGTCTACCTTTATTACCAGTACCTCCCTGTCTAGATTAGCGCTATCTTGGGTAATGTTGACACCTTAGTAATACTTACATCTTAACAATGATAAGACATCCCAGTCCATGAACACAGGATGTTTTTCCATTTATGTAGGTCACCAATTATTTTTAAATCATTTTATTGGTTTTTTTTATGGCTCTTATCACAATCCATACATCCATCCATTGTGCCAAACACATTTGTACATTTGTTGCCCTCATCATTTGCAAAACGTTTTCTTTCTACTGAGTCCTTGGTACCAGCTCATTTCCCCCCTCCCTCTCCCTCCCTCATGAACCCTTGGTAATTTATGTTGTTATTATTTTTCATGTCTTACATTGACTGATGTCTCCCTTCGCCCACTTTTCTGTTGTCTGGCCCCCTGGAAGTGGGTTATATGTAGATCATTGTGATCAGTTCCCTTTTTCCTCCCCCCACTTTCCCCTTTCCCTCCTGGTATCGCTACTCTCATTATTGGTCCTGAAGGGTTTATCTGTGTTTCCATCTCTTATCTGTACCACTGTACATGCTCTGGTCTAGCTGGATTTGTTAGAATTGGGGTCATGATAGTGGGGGGTGGGGAGAAAGCATTAAAGAAGTAGAGGGAAAACAAAACAAAAAAGCTCACATAAAACAAACAAACAAAAAAGCAGAGGAAAGTTGTATGTTTCATCAGTGCTATCCTGCACCCTGACTGGCTCATCTCTTCCTTGTGACCCTTCTGTAAGGGGATGTCCAATTGTCTGCAGATGAGCTTTGCGTCTCCACTCCACACTCCCCCTCATTCACATGGATATGATTTTTTGTTCTGAGTCTTTGGTGCCTGATACCTGATCCCATCAACACCTCACGATCACACAGGCTGGTGAGCTTCTTCCATGTGGGCTTTGTGTGGTCACTATCATTTCTTTCAACAATATTTTATTGTGTTTAGTGTACAGGTGTTTCACCTCCCTGGTGAAGTTTTATTTTTAAAACATGTTATTTTAGATGCTGCTATAGATAGAATTGTTTTCTTAATTTTCTTTTAAGATTGGCCATTTCTAATGTACAGAAAGAAATGCATCTGGTTTTTGCCTGTCAATATTGTGCTGTGTGACTTAGTTGAATTAGTGCTTTGGTTCTAGTGGCTGTATTGTGGATTCTTTGGAATTCTCTATATTTAGTATTATGTCATTTGTGAATATAGGTTTCCTCCTTTCTGCTTCGGGAGTCTTTCATTTCTTTTTCCTGCCTAATTGCTCTGGTTAAAACTTCCAGTACAATATTGAATAGTATTGATGAGAACTGGCATGCTTATCTTGTTCTTAATCAGTCTTAGAGCCCTATGGATATCATGCTTACTGTAGATTTTTCACAAATTGCCCTTTATGAATGTTGAGGATTTTAACGTCATTTCCTAATCTTTTGAGTGTTTTTATCATGAAATGGTGTTAGGTTTTCTCAGGTGCCTTTTCTGGATCAATTGAGATGATTATATGGTTCTTTTTCTTTATTAATGTGAATCAGGCTTGCATTGCTGAGGTAAATCCCACTTGGTCATGGCATGGAATCCTTTTAGTATGTTGGTGGGATTGTTAGTATTTTGTTGAGGATTTTTCCATTTCCATTTCCATTAATTCTAAGGGATATAAATTTGTCTCTTGTTTAGTGAATTTACTGGTTTTGGTCAGCATTTTAAATTCACATAATGTAAATCATATTTTATTTTTGTATTTAAAGTGCCCTTTGGTTCAAACCAAAGGTCTGCAAGTATTTTTTAAGGACTAAATGAGAAATAATTTTGGCTTTGTGGTCCAGTACTATCACTTCTGCCACTGTAAGACAAAAGCATTGCAGACAGTATGGAAATGAATTAGTGACTGTGTTCTTTTTAAATTTTTAAAAATTGTGTTCTTTTTTTTTTTA